AATTTATAGCTAGATGTATAAGTATAAATTACATATGCATAAATGTAAAGCTAAATAGCCTATTCAAATGTTAAAGAATTAAAATTGGAAATGGTTTATTCATAGAAAAATGTCAAAAAATAAAATGTAAAATAAAAAGATAACGTTTTTTTTATAATCTTTTGCATTATACACTAAATATAGTTATATCTATCTTAAATGTTCAGTATTTTGGCAATTATTTTATTAGTAAGTCATCGCACTGCATACAGCCCTCAAATGACACTGTTTTGTGAGAACGACTCTATATAATATAATTTTCCAAAAAGTCCGCCTCATAACAGACACGTTATTTCTGTCATGTGTGGAACAGCTTCAGTTTTATGAAAACAGAGTGACCTTTCAGTCATTTGATTATTATCTTGTCTTTGAATGTCCAGCGATCGTCTGAGCTCTGGAGGTTGAGATCACTGAGCTGGATATTTCTCTTTCTTTCATCCTGCCTGATTTGCAGGTGTGATGAGTTCTCCGTCTTCATTGTAATCCAGCATCAGAGCGATGGGATGCTCCTCAGAGGTGTGGGTGTTTGTCAAGCAGGCTTACGGCGGTCCTGACGGATGTGTTGGTTTGCAGGACGAGGTAAGGCTCTCCGGCCCGGTGGAACTCAATAATCCTGCAGTTTTAGGCTGAGGCTTCATCATGATGAGGTCCATCAATCTGAACATCAGGCCTGTAGAGACCCGCGGAGATGCCACTGGATCAAACAGTCCCACTTGCCAATAAAGAGTTGTAAGCCAGGAAACAAACCAGTCAGCCGCCCTGAGATAAATGATCAAACTCTGATTTGAAACGGAAAGTTTAAATAAGTAAATAAAATAAAATACAAATAATAAACAAACAAACAAATCATCTTAAATGATTTAAAATAAATACATTTAAGTAATGAATATAAAATGAAAATAAGTGAATAATTGTAAATAATTACATTTAAATAATAAATAATTAGACAATCTTTAATAATCCTAAGTAAATAATTTTAAATATTAAATATAAATAAATATTCAAACAAAAAAACTTAAATATACAATTTTTATAAATAAACTTAAATAATTGTATGTATACAATTTTAAATAACTGATTAAATACATTTAAATAATTGTAAACATTTAAAATAATACATAAGTAAATAATCTTAAACATTTTTTAAATAATAAATAATTAAACAATCTTTAATAATCCTAAGTATATACGTGATCTGACCCCTAAAAAATTACTATTCTATTTCTGTATCCTAAAGTGTCATGTTGATTCCCTCATATTAAAATATTTCTAAATTATTTTTTTTTTTAATATTCTAATATTTTATTATAAAATATAATAATAATAATAATAATAATAATATATTTGTAATAGAAATAAACAAATACAGAATTTTAAATAAATAAATACATATTTTTTTTATTACTTTACTGTGCTATTTACAAAGCACTAAGTATCACGACTGACACTTAAGACCCTCTACAAAGCAGAAGGCGCAATATGAGCTCTGTTTGCTTCTGCTATTAAGCGTGTTTGTTACGTCATGCGTCAGAAAGCCGAGGCGCTTTGACTCAGCTGAGTGAACGTCTATGGCAGGGCTGCCCAAACTCGGTCCTGGAGGGCCGGTGTCCTGCAGAGTTTAGCTCCAACTTGCCTCAGCACACCTGCCTTCAAGTTTCTAGTATGCCTATAAGAGCTTGATTAGCTGCTTCAGTGTGTTTAATTGGGGTTGGAGCTAAACTCTTCAGGACACCGGCCCTCCAGGACCAAGTTTGGACCACCCCTGGTCTATGGCAAGCCAAAAGGGTCATAAATGTTGACAGCGTCAGCGTCACACTCGGGACACGACGAGCAGAAAGCTCAAGTGCTGTTTGGTTTGGTGAGTGAATATCGCATCTGATGGATCTGATCTCGCTGCACAGATGAACTGTGAGATGTTGACATTTGCTTGGTTCTTTATGTAAATGTTAATCAGTCCTGCTGAACAGTGTTGATCTTATGAGGAGATTCTAGTGCTGGAGTAGCTATTTGGGACAAGTGTTTTAATCCTATTACGCTTGAATGAATAGAAATGAATCATTTTTGAGGCCCTTGATTTGATCCGATTTGAACACGTCAATACAGCATCTACAAATTTGCATATGTTTTATTTTTTTTGTTCATTAGTGGTAGGCTGTAGTGTTAGTTTGATATAATTAAGAGAGTGATGTCTTTGTCATTTTTGTATTTTTTTAAACGTCTATATAGTTTTTAATTATATTAAGTTAGATATTTTCTTATTTTGATTTCAGTTTTAGTTATTTTAGTAGCATACATCAAGATGAACTAAATTAAAATGAGACGTTTCCTTGGTTTCTTACGCTATGCCTGCGTCCTACGTCATCCGCTGGAACGTCACTCTCTCTTTATTTAAGTTGATGCTTAAATAAAGACATATTTTATCGGGAACGTTTATGCTGGGATGTTGTGAGCTTATGGGGTGTTATTGAACTATTTAATGTAAATTTAATACTGAAAAAAAAATCTATTATTTTACAGTAGCCTATGTACAATTTAGTCAAACCAAGATGGTTGCCAGTAATGAAGAGGCACGTGATTTTCTATATGTAAATGCTTATTAACATTTGATCGAACAAAAGCGGTATACAATCTAGAGTACAATGATATTTTAGTCTGTTTTTAACGCTTTTTAAATGTTTATTTACTAAAAGTGAATAAATAGGACCTAAAAGTGAATAGACAGATACTAAACTCCCATTTAATTGTTTTTATTGTGCGTTGAACATATAAAACAGTCACTTATATTGAGTCCGTTAAAAACAGTGCATTGTCAACGGTTTTATTAAGTTACACTGCCATCTAGTAATGTCTGTTGTGTCCAACAGCTAATCTGTGAATTATTGATGGAGATGATGATCAATAACATTATATATTAGCAATCTTCCATCATAAGTGTAAAAAAAGTGTGCATAGAAGTTCTCACAGCAAATATAAGGACAACAGTGGACATTTAACCATATATTTAAGAAAATGACCAACATAGGTCAATTTTAATGATCATAATGCATAAATCATAACATAAACAAAATAAGATGTGGTTCCAGTACATTCAGGTGTTTCCATTCCAGTTTTTACCATCACATTTCTATGCAGATTTTGGATTTTAACACAATATAAATGACATTTAGCCTGCATATAAAAGGATGTACCTGCAATACATGCTGAGAGTGTACAGTATGTCTTTTTTTTTTAAATGGTTAATTACAACAAATGCTATACTGTAAATCTATAAAAGGCATGATTGGCATGCAAAAGCATTATGCCTGCTGCATCAAACACTCCACTAAATCAAACCATGAAATAATGTGCAGCAAAAACAATCATCCTTACAGTATACTTAAGAAGACATTGAGATAGATGATCTTAAGAACATCTGAAAAAAGTTTTTATTTCACTATATATATATATAAAGCTGCAATAGAGCAAGAGGTTAAATTCAATGAAAACCATCCACATTTTCACTTCAGTTTGACTTGTTACTTCTTGAATTGCATATTAAATTTCCATCCATTTGGATTACAGTTTTACCATAAACTAATAAACGAAATGTGATGCATATTTGTCAGTCACACATGAAACATGTAAGAAAAAGGTAGGACTTTTGCACTCCAAAAATCATGGCATAGTTTATAATTAACTATTTGCATCTATTCATTTTATTTCAATAATATTTTCAAAATGAATTTATTCAAATTGCCTAAAATCAGCATAAATCTGTTTCTTGAGAAAACAATTAAAAGTTTTTTGTTTCCAGTTAATAAAGTATGAACATGGTTAAAGGTTGGCTATAGCTGTGGAACAAGCAATATTCCGTTAATTGAATTCAAATGAGATTGAAACTAATTGAATTTATTGATGATTGATGAATATATAAACCTGGTTATTGTGTATTTAAAACACAATAAAATGTAGTTTGTTTATGTTCAAACTAATCCAAATGCAAATTTAATATAATCCACATTTTATACGCAATTCAATTATATAAATCTTAAATTTAGGCCAATTTTTTATTTTATTGTGTTTTCTTCCATGTTTTATAATGGATAATAATGTTGTCGCAGCCCTAATTCAAGTCTTCGGTCATAATGAGTCAAAAGTTTTATAAAAGACATGAATTTACATTGCAGAGTCTGTCATACGTCACTAGCAGACACACAAATCCCATCAATGTCAGCCAGCAGCAATATCACTCAAGATATGAGATGAATGATGTTTGCAAAAAAAAAAAAAAAAGTATCCTCATTAGGCCTAATTATCATTTATCTCCGTGCAGACGTCAAAGAAAATGTCAGAAATTAGGGCTCAGGGCAAAAGCGCTTCTGAAGGTGCCAGAAATGCTCCAGATATGTAATTTGAATTGTTTTTTTTTATCTTTTATCGTGAAGTGAAAAGTGTAGTTGTAAGAAACAAATCCATCATTAAGACGTTTTAACTCACTTCTTGCCAAAGTATGAATCCATAATCCATAATAACACCATTTCATGTTGTCTCTCACATCAAAATCTATCATTATATTTGTTTAGAACTTCCATTTTGGATAGACTTGAATACATTTCAGCAAATTTTAATTTTGGGGTGAACTGTTCTAGATCTACCTAAATGCGTCTATGTTCGCGCGAATCATTCGTGATCCAGCTTCACCTACAGAAGAAGTGAGTGTAAGGTTTTTTAATGAATCTTTGTAAATCGCCTTTCCTAATAATGTGCTAATTAGCAAGTTTCACGATGAATGCGGCTAAAGTAAACAGTCTCTCAGAGAGCGCGGGGTCAGCAGAGCTCATTAACATTTAAAGGAAAATGCTACAAAAACGGCTTGATCTGAAAAGAGCTGTTTTTGACAGGGTAAAAAAGTGTTTTTTACACTACCATTGAGACATTTGAACCAAACTATGTTACAGACTTTTCATTAAGACCCTAAAGAATCATATCAACTTGTGGAAAATGGACATCCGATGACCCCTTTAAAGAAATGTTTTGTGTGTGTCTCATCAGATTATGACGGATCTCATCCACTCCAAAACCCTCACAAAACAAGAGCCACCAGCAGCCAGACAAGCATCACCAGAGGAGCTGAGACGCTTTCCATCTCGGATCCATGGTTCGCTTCACTTTCCATGCCGGTCTCAATTTTAACGTGCACTTGTGTGGGCTCTTCGGGAACAGCAGCGGGCTCCGTCGTCATTCGTGGACGCTCAGGTAAGGCAGACGGATCTTCGGTGTCATCTGCCCCCGGCCCCTCGGATGGATGAAAGAGATCCTCAACCACTGCGAGGAGAGAGAGTTTTGAGAGTGTGTGCAACAAAAATAGTAATAGTTTAGTTTTCTGTGACCATTTTCCACCCTCTTTTATTTCATGTTGACTTTAAATTGATTTGGGTGAATAAAGTCTTCACATTACCGCACATGTTGTCCTCACACACTGGTAGGGTATCTGGACACCTCGAGCATGGCACTCCAGACTCGTATGGCTTTTGTTCCTCAATATTTTCTCTGTAATGAAGGAAAAACGAAGGGTGGATTTGATAGATGGTTTTTATAAATGGATTTACTTTGAAACAACACTCAGAAATTGATAGTAAATGTAATAATATATAATTATATTTTTCATTTTTTAATGAACTAGTTACTGTAAATGGAAAAAAATGGAAAACAAGCAGCTTTGTCATTACAGCAGAAATATCAGAAATAGTTTTTGAAATTGAACACTCTGAATATTAACTAATATATAACTTATCTTTTATATCGCACATTATTTCACCTCTGTCTGCTGTTTGGCTGTTCATATGTTGTATACTATCTGTTATTTACCTTATGTAAAGAGCCTTGGGTATTTGAAAGGCACTATATAAATAACACATTATTATTATTATTATAACGATAAAAACATTGCCAATCAGTATCAATCCTGCTATAACGAGCCCGAGAATTTAAAGTGGCAGACGAGCGCGTGCTTGGAATAAACAGATGATATCATCCGCTGGTGTGGATGCTAATATAGTTATCTTTACAGTTATTGTTCTCGGTGTGAAACAGGTCATGTTATAGAGTGTTTTAGAGCACATTCTAGAACACTAAGGTCATGTTCAGTCTGGATTATTCGAACGCACTTACTGAGGGTAATAATTACACACGAAAAGAGTGGCCTTCTCTAAATCCAAAAGTTTGTCACAGAAATGCGCAGCACAGCCAATTTTATTGCTGTCTGTCCAGACCATCTGGAACAACAACAGAGAAGCGCATCATCATATCTGCATATTCAGACTGAAAACCAATCAAACACACACCGAACAGAAACAGTGTTCACCTGAGTGTAATGGCCACACATTTTATCTTCAGGACAGTTATTGGTTTCCAAGTCATAATCCACGTGCTCTCCAAACCTGTGTGTGTACAAAGAAACGAGTTGCAAATCTGTTAATAGATCATATTTCTGCATATCACAGATCATCAGTATTTATTCTTTTAGTCATTGCTCATTCATTCTTATTTACGTTTAGTTAGGGTATTTGTCGTACCAGTCCATCATTGCTTTGGTTGCATTAAATGGTCCAGTGCCTAAAAAGAGATTTTCACCCATTCTGAATTCCTTTAGTTGAGGGTTGTGATCCCAGATGCATTTTGCCGCATATGCTTCTGCCAGCAGATGCAGTGTCTCATCCCACACCTCAAACGACAGAAACAAGTTTGTTGCTATTTGACTTTAAGGCTTTTTTTTTTTTTTGGACGGCTGAACAATATACAGTATTTTTTCAACTTTTAAAGAAATTGTTTAAGAGATATTTTGTGTAGGTCAGTCATTGTTGAGTGAACCTTGCATCCAAATAAATAAATAAATGATTATTGGACTATGTTTTACAAACAAACAAATAAAAAAAATTCTAATAAATTTATATAAATTCATTTTGAAGTTTACTGACTATTTCTGAGAGATAATTGTTTTAAAGCCAAGTTTTTTTCAGTGTAGAATTATTATTTGACATTATTGTAATTGTTATAATTATGTCAAATTATAATTTGCATAATAGTTTAAATCATTATACATTATAAATTATAGTTTACATCATTATACATTATTTTACATAAAAAAGAGCATTGAAATGTAATGCAAACAAAATGTCATGCTCTCTTTACCATAATGCACAAAAATAAATAAATCAATGAATGGATGGATAAATAAATACATAAATAAATAACAAGCTTTGTTTTCTTTATACGAAACATTTTTGTTTTTCTATTCATTTTTAAATTTGCATTCAAATGCAATGCAAACAAAAAGTAATGTTCTCAGTACCATAATGTAGAAAATAATAAATTTAATACAGTATTTATGAAGTACCGTTTGTTGTACTGCCTTTCATTTATGATGGAATAAACAAACAAACAAACAAAATAAATAAGCAAGCAAGTGAGCAAGCTTTGTTTTCTTTATGCAAAATACATTTTTTCTTCTCATTTTGCAGTGAAATATGACCCACACATGTTGTTTGTGCAATCCACCACATTGTTGTGTAAATGTAAGTGAACAAAATATGTTTCACAAGAGAGCCAGAGGCTTTCCCACTATGAATCTTCCCATAGTTGTGCTCTGAATTTCACCAACAATACAAACATCAGACTGTAAGACAGGATGACCACATGGGGCTTTATTAAAACACTCACACTCAGCACAACGTTCCTGCGGTTTCATGTGACATACACATTCCTCAGCATGTCTCACACACACACACACACACACACACACACGCGCGCGCGCATTGCACAACAGTATCATTGCATCCACACACCCCCACACACACCATCCAAAATCCAGCCACTTCATGGTTTCTGTTCGAAAAGTCCCTCTTAGTCAGATAAAGAACGGTCTCATGCATTATAATACCAGCCTTGTGCTGCTGTGATTCTTGCATTCACATGGTAAAGTTGAGGTCTGTTTCACACAGCAACAATGCTTAAAGGGACAGTTCACCCAAAAAAGAAAACTCTGTCATGTACTCACTCTCAAGTTGCTCTAAACCTGTATGAATGTCTTTCAAGTTTTTTTATTCCATACTATGGAAGTCAATGGCTACCAGCAACTGTTTGGTTACCAACATTCTTCAAAACATCTTCTTTTGTGTTCAGCAGAAGAAAGAAGGCTTGGGACAAATTCAGAGTGATTAAATGATGGTAAAATGTTCCTTTTTGGGTGAACTGTCCCTTTAAAGGAGACTAGATAGTGAGCGATGTATTACATATTTCATATGGCATTAGTTTTCATTTGGTAAACTATAATCATGATTACAGTATTAGACTCTCTTGTGTTTTGAAAGTAATTGTGCCCATGAACATGCATGATGTGCTACTTATTGTTTACAGCAGTAATGAGACCGTGAAGGATGTAACTCCAGTGATTAATGGCAGATGATGAGATGCTCTGACCTCGTAACTCACACGCAACACACAAACATTGAGCTTGAGGCCAAAACCAATGACAAGAACATTAACAGCCCCCACGAGATGGTGTTTTGGGTCGGTGAGATTATTATTATTATTATTTAAAAGAAAATTTATATTTTCATTCAGCAAGGATGCATTCAATTGATCAAAAGTGACAGTAAAGACATTTATAATGTTAGAAAAGATTTCTATTTCAAATAAATGCTGTTCTTTTGGACTTTCTGCTCATCAAAGAATCCTAAAAAAAAAAAATTAAAGTATCACAGTTTCCACAAATATATGAAGGAGCACTGTTATTACATTTTAAATACATTCAAATAGAAATCAGTTATTTTGAATAAAAAAAAAAATTCACAATATTGCAGTTTTTACTGTATTTGTAATAAATAAATAAATGCAGTTTTCGTTAGAATAAGAGACTTCTTACCGACCCCCAAACTTTTGAATGGTACTGTATAAAAAAATCATAGAATTTCTAGATCTAAATGCTTTTTAATCTGTGAGGTTTCACCTTAAAGAAAATTGTTTGAATTTTGAAGAACATCCAGTGCTGTCGATCTCCAAAATAGACACAAAAGCTCAAAGATTCAGCAAGGTTCATTTCATTTTAAGTTCCACAGAAGAAAGAAAATCTTACCGGTTTGGAGTGACATGAGTGTCCTTAAATAATGACAACTTTTGCATTTTTGCATGCATTTTTACGTCTTATTCAGTAGCTCGTGTACCAATCTAGTTTACACCAAAGAACCAAAGCCGAATGTGTTGCGCCAGGTGCATCTCTTACCACTTTCTGCATGAAGGCGGCACTGGGCTGAACCTTAGAGCGAAGCTCGTTGTGCATGTCCACGATAGTTGATTTCTCCTGCTCGGTCAGGTGACCAGCAGCTAAACTCAGAATGACCCAGAGCCAGGTGCTCCGGAGGGCCACGTTCCAGTACATTCTGCCTCTCCTCCCTGAGGAGCCTAAACAAGCCGTCGGTGGTCAGATGAAACCTCTTCTCTGGCTACTCTCAGGTCTGTCACTCGCTGTCCTTAGCGTCTTCAGAGCAAGTAAACGTGTCTCTCTCTGGGCTGTTAGTGTGTGGAAGAGGGAGAGAAAGTTAGTATGGGACCCTCTCAGCACTCCCACCCTTTCAATCCTATATTTAAGCCGCCCATGGTCATATTACACATACGCACATAAACTTACTCACATTACTCGGCTCCCTTACCTCATCAGAAAGCTTCACATGACTCATTTCCAACCATCTGACAAGTCAAGTCCAACAAGGAGCACTGTAAAACTCCAAAGATTTGACTGTTTTAGCCACACAGCATGTCAAAACAGTTCTCCTTGAGGAATGCCTGAGATTTGACCTGCCCACATTTTCCAGATCCTGATTTCATTTCCTCAGTACCAGGCTCTGCTCTCTCCAGCAGGGATTCACCCTTATATTCAGCCCGTGCGCCCTACAGAGGGTCCCTCCCTGCCACAGCTTACACAAAACCAGCTCTCGTTTACTGTAAGTGACGCCGGAGGAATTCTTTGCCGCCTTTCTAATTGAGCTGCTAACAGAGAGGATTATTTCTTTGGATGGATAAGGTCTGATTTATTTAAAAGTATTAAAAGTTATTAGCTGTTCTTGTTGCCCTACAACTTTTGCTAAAAAAAAAAAAAGTCTGTGGTTTTTCTTGTGCAAAAATCATTGTATCAGTGCTAGAGTCCTGCTGGGTGGTTGCTGGGGTGTAGCAAAGGTGTTACCATGGTGTTCTGGGTGGTTGCCAGGGAGTTGCTATGTTGTTGCTCGGGTGTTGCTACAGTAGGTGGTTGCTGGAGTGTTGTGGGTGGTTGCTAGGGTGTTCTGGATGATTGCTTGGGGGCTGTTACTGTGTTCTGGGTGGATGCTGGGGTATTGCTGCAGTGGGTTGATGCTAGGGTGTTCTGGGTGGTTGCCAGGGAGTTGCTATATGGTTGCTAGGGTGTTCTGGATGATTGCTAGGGGGCTGTTACTGTGTTCTGGGTGGTTACTGGGGTGTTGCTACAGTAGACGGTTGCTAGGATGTTCTGGGTGGTTGCCAGGGAGTTGCTATGTGGTTGCTAGTGTGTTCCGATGATTGCTATGGGGCTTCTACTGTGTTCTGTGGTACTGAGTCCTGTGGGTGGTTGCTAGGTGGTTGCCAGGGCATTCTGGGTGGTTTTTAGGGTGTTGCTATGGTGTTCTGGGTGCTTGCCAGGGAGTTGCTATGGGGTTGGTTGGTACTGTGTTCTGGGAGATTGCTATGCAGTTTCTAGCATGTTCTGAGTGGCTGTGATGCCATTGCTTTGTTGTTGCTAGGGTGTTCTAAGTGATTGCTATTGGATTGTTAGGTGGTTTCTAGATTGTTGTGGGTGAGTGCCAGGACGATGATATTCTGGTGTTTGATGGAGGGTTGCTAGGTGGTTTCTGGGGTGTTCTGGGCGGTTACCCTGGAGTTGTGGTTGCTAGGGTGTTCAGGATGATTGGTAGTGGGCTTCTGCTCTATTCTGGGTGGTTGCTATGCCATTGCTGTTTTATTGCTGTTTATTTGGATGTTCTGGAATGATAATCATTGCCAGGGAGTGGCTAGGCGGCTACTAGGGTGTTCTGGGTGGTTTCTGGCTTGTTGCTAAGTTGTTGCTAGGGTGATGCTAAGGTGTTTTGATTGGTTGCTAGGGAGTTGCTATGTGGTTGGTTGTTAGGGTGTTCTGGGAGATTGCTGCGTGGTTTCTGGCATGTTCTGGGTGGTTGCCAGGGAGTTGCTGTTTGATAGATAATGTGTTCTGGATGATTGCTAGGGAGCTTCTACTGTGCTCTGGGTGGTTGCTGTGGTGTTTCTAGGTGGTTGTTAGGGTGTTCTGGGTGATGGTTTTGAAGGTTTTCTGTATGGTTGTTGAAGTATTGCTATGTGGTTTCAAGGCTGTGCTGGGTGGTTGCTAGGCCATTGCTAAGTTGTTGCTAGGTGTTCTAGGTAATTGCACTGTGGATGTTAGGGTGTCCTAGGTGATTGCTTGGGTATTGCTAGATGGTTGCATGCTAGGGTGTTCGAAGTGATTGCTGAGGTAATGCTAGGGTGGTTTTCAGGGAGTTCCTATGTGGTCACCTGTTAACAACAAACCCTGCAAATTAAGAGAAACTTTGGTGATAATATCCTTACAATTATAGGGATTTATCAATGACATGTAGGCGTGCGTCTTTTATTGTTCTTTGAGTGACTGGCATCTACATGTCAGGGAACTAATTTTCACATACCTGCCAGTCTCCTGTATGATTAAATAATGAGTCCTGTGTTAATGAGCTGATTGATTGTGTCTAAACTAAACAAAGTCCTTCTTTTATCAGTTATTAATTTTGGTCGTAATTCACTTGCATGTGGCTCTCCAGTGATCCATTCATGTGGGTTGTACTATAAAGTTTATATTGCTGGTTTTGAAAGTGAAGGCTTGATCTTCCTGGTGTTAAACTGGTTTAGTCTCTCTTTGCTGTAGGGTGTTGTTCTAGGCGTGGGCATTTTTGCTGTTCAGATTGTGATTTCCAGCAGCCAGATGTACAGGCATAGCAACATCAGACTCCAAACACTGCACAGGTGCGCGGCCCACGTGCAATGACGTGTTGCACCATTGTTAAAAAATGCACCAAAATCCCCTTTTTTTTCATTTGTTTGAGTTCAGAACCTGTTTTGTATTTTTCAAATAATTTCACTCGTCATTCTGCTTTTGTTTTTTGTTCATTCTAAATGACAAAAACATAATAAAATCTCATATATATAATATGTATTCATAGGACATACTCATATTACGACATATGCAGTGATGGGTGATTCGTTCAATGGACAGAGATGCTTAGAAATGAGAAAACAAATACAGCTCATCTGAGCAAAACCCCATCTCTGCTATGTGTTTCCCCAGTGTATATCTCTCTTCCTGTGATTGCTTATCCATTCAGGTTTTCCAGTCTCAAGTGGATCTTTATTTTAACTGAATGAGATATACTCTGAGGTCATGTGTGGAATGGATTTTATGCTCAAAGGAGTAGAATCTTTTGATTAATGATTTTAAATTATATATTATTTATATTTTAATTTGCATTTAATATTCTATTATATACAGTATATATATATATATATATATATATATGTGTGTGTGTGTGTGTGTGTGTGTGTGTGTGTGTGTAATGTTATTATTGTAAATTAATTACATATATAATAATAGTTTGTAATAATAAATACATAATACTAAACATTAAATAAATAAATTTATTCATACATTCATTTTTAATAAAGATACAAACTGTTCACAAATCTGCACCGACTAATCGACTAGTCGACTTCAATGCTCTGCCATGACGCTTTAAGCTTGACGTCGACT